CACTGAGATGTCTCCACAAATGGATGCCATGCTGGAGGCACTTACTCATTTATGCCAAGAAATTTGGAAAACAGCTACCTGACCAACTGACTAGAAGAGAGAGACCCCTATTTGCACTCATTCCAATGAAAGGTGATCCAATAGAATATGGAGATTATCAAACAACATCGTTAATATCAAATGCAAGTAAAATTTTTTTGAAGATAATTAAAAAACAGTTGCAGCAGTCTATTGACAGGGAACTTCAAGAAATGCAAGCTGGATTCAGAAGAGGACGTGAAATGCTGCTGCCCAATGGACCTTGGCTGAAAGCAAAGAATGCCAGAAAGATATTTACTTATATTTTATTGACTATGCAGAAGTATTTGACCATGTGGATCATAACAAATTATGGATAACATTGAGAAGAATGGGAATTCCAGAACACTTAATTGTGCTCATGAGGAACCTGTACACAGATCAGGGGCTGTCATTCAAACAAAACAAGGGGATACTGCATGGTTTGAAATCAGGAAAGCAGTGCATCAGGATTTCTCTTTTGATCACACTTACTCAGTCTGTATGCTGAGCAAATAATCTGAGAAGTTGGACTGTCTGAGAAGAATGTGGCATTAGGATTGAAGGAAGACTCATTAATAACCTGCAATATGCAAATGACACAACCTTGCTTGCTGAAAGTGAAGATTACTTGAAACACTTACTGATGAAGATTAAAGACTACAGTCGGCAGTATGGTTTATGCCTCAACATAAATAAAAATCCTCACAACTGGATCAATAAGCAGCATCATGATAAATGGAGAAAAGATTGGAGTTGTCAAAGATTTTGTATTACTTGGTTCCACAATCAACACCAATGGAAGCAGCAGTCATGAAGACATCGTATTGCACTGGGCAAATCTGCTCCAAAAGCCCTCTTTAAAGTGCTGAAGAGCAAAGATGTCTCTGAAGACTAACATGTGCCTAACCCAGGCCATGGTATTTTCAGTTGCTTCATATGCATGTGAGAGCTGACAAATGAATAAGGGAGACTGACGAAGAGTTGATGCTTTTGAATTGTGGTGTTGGTGAAGAACACTGACAATACCAAGGACTGCCAGAAAAATGAACCAATCTGTTGTGGAAGAAGCAGAGCCAGAATGCTCCTTGGAAGTGAGAATGGCCAGACTTCATCTCACCTACTTTGGTCATGTTGTCAGAAGGGACTATTCCCTGGAGAAGGATATCATGCTTGGTAAAGTGGAGGGTCAGTGAAAAAGGGGAAGACCCTCAATGAGATGGATCGACACATAGGCTGCAGTGTTGGGCCCTGGTATAGCAAGGATTGTGAGGATGGTGCACAAGCAGGCAGTGTTTCATACTGTTGTACATAGGGTCACTGTGAGTTGGAGCCAACTTGATGGCACCTGACAACAAAACATTTTTAAAGGCAAAACAATTCATTTATTCATCAGAAGTTTAAGAATTGCCCACCATGTGCAAAGTCACTAAGATAAGTACTATGAATAATATAAAGCTCTTGTCTCAAAGTACAGATAAAAAGTATAATGCGCCAGAAGAAAAGAACAAGTCATAGGGACATAGAATTTCTTTAATGTATGATTTATTTTATTTTTGTTGTTGTTTTGCTGAAAATATAGATAGTGCTACACCTACATCGATTCAGTCACTTCGTGTGCAATTCAATGATATTGGTCACATTCTAGGAGTTGTGCAACCGTTCTCACCCTCTTTTTCCCAGTTGTTCTTCCTCCACTAACATAAACTCAAATTCACTGCCTTAAGTTTTTTACCTAATCTTCCCAGTTCCTCTTTTCCATTTGATCCTTTGTAGATCTTAAAAGAGCACAATGGTCAAGGCAGACATTCAATATATAAGCTAAACTATTTGGTTTTAAGAAGACTTCAAGGGGATATTTTTTAGTTTAAGGTTTAAAGACTATCTCAGGGTACTAGTTTCAAGGGTTCGTTCAGCCTCCATAGATCCAGAAAGTCTGGATTCCAGGAGCATTGTTTTTTTCACTGGAAAGAAAGACTGCCTCCAGCTATAGGAACCGGGAAGGGCTCCCAAGTAAAGGAGCACTTATTATAACTCAGACCACTTCCTGGAAGGCACCATTACAAAATCCTAAATGGTCACTTTTCTGAGTTCCTATTGTTCTTATACTTTCTGCTCCTGAATTATAACTTATCTCCAGGTGTTTCATGAATTGGTGAAAGATACCTCAAAGACAAAAGCCTTTATAATAAAATGCAAGACTTGCAGCAGGTGGTCAGTAACAACTCAATTGGTTAATTTAAGGTTTTTCTTCTGAGAACTGCATAATCTCATCATGCATACATTCTATTGTGAGTGTGTTACTAGTTATAATTCCCAGACATTGCTTGGCTTACCTCTGTTTCTTAAATTTTGCTTCCCCCACCCTTGATTAGTACCCTAATTTAGACTGATATTTTTGATTTGTTAGTGCCTAAGGCATTTGACTGCTAACCAGAAGACTGGTGGTTCAAACCCACCAGCCACTCCTTGGAAGGAAGACCGGGCAATCTACTTCCATAGAGATACTGCCTCGGAAACCCAAGGAGGGGTCTCTGTGAGTCGAAATTCACTCGATGGCAGTGGTTTTTGTTTTTTTAAGTGAATAAGGAAGGAATCCCAGGAACCCGTGGATTTAACCACATCCCTAATGCTGCACACCTGCCACTGGAATTTTCTGCTAGCCCAACATGCTTTTTCAGCACTCATTCTCTCTTCTTCAGGGAGAGGAAGCGACTCTGAGTCCGACTTGCCTCATCGGAAGCTACCAGATGTGAAGAAGGATGATATGTCTGCACGGCGGACTTCCCACGGTGAGCCGAAATCAGCAGTGCCTTTTAACCAGTACCTCCCCAACAAAAGCAACCAGACAGCCTACGTCCCCGCACCTCTGAGAAAGAAGAAAGCAGAGCGAGAGGAGTACAGAAAGAGCTGGAGTACTGCCACCTCCCCCCTGGGCGGGGAGAGGCCCTTCAGGTAAGCCCTGAGCTTTGCTGCTCATCTCCTGGCCTGCGTGTGAGGGGTACTGGGAATACAGCTCCAGGACGTGAGGTTAAATAACCATTTTAGAACTTTGGCGTAAGATTACAAGTGGAAATGGGCAGGACAGATCCTTGGAGATAGCTTGTCAGGAATCTAAGTTTCATAAGGGCACTAGGACAGTGTCTGGCACATAGTAGCTATTCAACAAATAGTGGTGATAGAGACATAGATAGATAGATAGATAGAGATAAATAACGTAATATATGCCACTGTAAGTGGACAGTTGAGTTAAATTAATTGCATTCACAATATTGTGTGACCATCACCCCTTCTATTTTCCAACCTTGTTTGTCATCACCCCAAACAGAAACTCTGTACCCATTAAGGAGTAACTCCTCATTCTTCCCTCTCCCAGTTCCTGGTAGCTATTAATCTACTTGGGTCACTGTGCATTTGCCTATCCCAGATATTTCATATAAATGGGTTCATATCATATTTGTCCCTTTGTGTCTGACTTACTTCATGAGTAGAGTGCTTTCAAGTTTATCAATGTTGTAACATATATCAGAACTTTCTAATGAGCAGATTTTTGAGACCAGTTATATTGACAGGACATTGAGAACACAGCCGAAAGCCTGTCACCCGTCCTACCTGACTCCCAATCCTGTTAGACTAGGTCCACAAAAACCCTTGTCAAAATGCAGGCTTAGCTTGATGCAAGAAGCTCATGTACAAGGAATACAAAGAACACGCTTTAAAATCATACATAGCAATAGTCATAATAAGTGGAAGATACATTTGAGTTCTCATCTCTTTAGAGAAATAGCCAGTGTTTTCCTTAATCTCTGATTATGATTTTGTATTTATTTATTCATCTGTTTGATGAGTACTGATCGCACATTTTGCTATGTGCTTGGTGTTGTCTCCTAGTTATTGGGGAGCCAATAGTAACTAAGACAGAGTTCCTGCGTTCAAGAAGCTCATGGTCCAATAAAAGAAATGATAGTTTGGCCTAATTCTTTAAGCAAAACCATCCTGATTGTTGTGTGATTATTTCTGATTATCCATCATTCCTCACTACAGTTTGTCCATTAATAGGCATTGTCTTGGAAGCTATAAATTTGGAGTAAAACTAATGAATTTTACCTTCCCAGCAGAAACTGTTTTTACCTTTCAATACCAAGTTTGGAATAGCTCTTAATCATTGTTGAAATTATAATGTATTGATTAACAAGTGGCTACATTTAACGTTCTTTGCATTGCCAGGATCACATTGCATGCTATGACTTCTTTCTCAAGTGAAAAGTCTTATCAGATTGGCTGGGAGATGACATGTGGTCCGATCTCCAGCCCTGTCTGCTAGTTTGATTAACCATATTGTCCAACTCACTAGCTATCCTGAAACAATAGAGGAAGAGGGAAGTGAAGTGGGGTCTCCTGGTGAAGAGGACCCGGTCTGCCACATGGACCTTGGTGGGAAGCCTTCTGATGGTGGGTTAGAATTACCAAATGGCGGTAGTAAGGAGCAGCCTCCCCCAGAGGGGGCCGTGGTGACACCAGCTCCTAAGTCTGAAGAAAAAGATGCTGCTGAGATCCGAAAGCGCAGAAGGCTAGAGAAGGCTGGAATCAAGGTCATGCCGGCAGCACAACGCTTTGCCAGGTTAGCTCTGGGGACCCAGGTCTGGCCTAGCTGGCTTGTGCATGCCTGGCTGTTTGGAATCTGCCTAGTGTGTTGGGGTTTCCTTTGTTTTCCCAATTTCTGCTTTTCCCATTGCGTCACTATTCCTTACTCTGAGTAAGTCCAAACTACTTAATAGTCTTTGCCATAGGGCATGTCCCTGCTCCATGCTTGGTTTTTCTAAGTGAAAGTGAAGAATGGGGCTTCTTGCTGCCTTGATTAGACTGAGTCCTAGTTTACACACTTAACAATTTATAAAATGCAACAAGCGATCAGTCTTTTGTTGGCTGGAAGATTTAGCTAGCAATAACATTTTATTTTCTGTTATTTGTAGCTTGTTAATTTTCACACTACTCCTAAATGGCTCTTATCTTCTTTATACCTAAGTAGAAAATAGTTCCTGTGGAATGGGAAGCTTGCTTCATAGAAAGAGTGATTGGTTTACAAAAATCCACTTACTTCCTTTGTCCCAAGGGGGTAGTAAGTAAAATTGAGTTTACTTATTGTCTAAAGCATGTTGATTTAAAGGAGGAGCTCTGGTGGTGCTGTGGTTAAGGCATTGGGCTGCTGACCAAAAGGTCAGTGGTTCAAACCCACCAGCTGCTCCACAGGAGAAAGACGAGTCCGTAAAGATTTATAGCCTCGGAAACCCTATTGAGGTTGCTATGAGTCAGAATTAACTTGATGGCAGTGGGTGGGTTGATTTAAAAACACACAAAGAAGTAAAATAGTTAATTCTCTTAATTGTAACAAAGGCTGTACTATACAATCCTAACAGCTTCATACTACATGTAAGGTGGAAGCCTTAAGTAACGAAAGTCACAGAAAGCCATAGTTTAACAGTTTCATGTAGTGTTTTGAGAAGCTGGTTAGTTTTTCTTCTATACAGCCACAGAGATCCTAATGAAATTGGACAAGTTGCAGTTTACAAAACCCTTTGGCATTTGCTGTTGCATTTCATTCTAAGAAGTAAATAACAGACCATTTTTCAGATGAGGAAACTGATGACCAGGATGAAAATAGTTCCTACGGAATGAGAAACTTTATCAGGTATAAAGTCAGTCACTGACTGGCCTGGTAGCCAAATGTAGATGTTCTGACCACGGCACACATTGACCTCCCACATTTAACATTGTCTATTTCTCTGTATACTTTCTATATGTGGTTATTTTTGTGGTCTAGGTCTTAAGTGAAAGATTAAGACTTCTATGGATTTAATCCTAAAGTAGTTTTTTATTTGTGAAAAACCAAGGAGATACTTCTACCCTGTCTGTGGTATCCCACAAATAATCATGCCTACCCTAAACATATATGTGCCTTTAGAGTTTAGATAACTCTAAAACAGATCCATACTCAGTTTCTGAAATAATAGTGTACAATGACAGAACTAAAACAATCCAAATATTATTAAAATAATCAGTTCAGAGACCTGATCACAGGCATACTTTTTCAATGTCACTTTAGCATCTGCTTGTAGCAGACACCAGGGTGGATGCTGAGAATATGAAAATGAGTAATATCCCCTCACAGTGTGCCCTTTTTCAGACTTCTCCAGCTTCTATCTTCAACACCAGGACACAATGGGAGCAGGCAATGGGTGATACAGATAAAGTACAAATTTACGAAAGACCTTGACACAAGGGCCCTCATTTTTTTAAAAAAATCACATTTGTGAAGTCTTTACAAATTTACCAAGGATGCCATCATCTTTAGAGTATCCAGAAGAGTTAAGCACAGGAAGAGAAGGAAGAACCTACACTAACCTAACTCAGTGGATCCAAATAATAGAGATACAGAGAACAGAAAAGATTGGGTGAAGGGTAGCCATTCCATGAATGTACTGTGCCCCTTCAGTAATTGAGAAGTCTATTTTGTAATAAAGAAGCTTTGGTGCCGTAGTGCCTAAGGCACTTGACTACTAATCAGAAGGTTGGCAGTTCAAATCCACCAGTCACTCCACAGAAGGAAGACTGGGCAATCTACTTCCCCAAAGAGGGTCGCTATGAGTCAGAATTGACTTAATGGCAGTAAGTTTGGTTTGAGTTTATTTTGTAATAAAACCTTAAACTCTTTTGCTACAACTCCCAATTCTGTATATATATGTAGTATCATGGTTAGTTTAGAGATTTAATTCTGTTTAATAATGTTAAGTTTAGGAGGCAACTTTTTTTTTTCACCCATTTGTAGTTCCTATTATCGGGCTTAATTTTTTAGCTATTTCATCCATGTTAGCTCTGTTAAGCAGGTATTTGCAGATCTGTTAATGTCATCACTTGTCAGATCTTCTGACTTAGAGCTTAAAATCCGGTCCAGGACAATGATGCATTCTCAGAGAATGTCCCTGTGGCAACACAACATTGCCGCTCCAAACACCCAGAATTCATTAGACAGATTTTCAGATGCTAGCTCTCTCATAAAAGTTTCACACATTCCATGCCACCAGCCTGGCATGTCTATGTTTCTGTCACTCACTTTTTTGCAGGCCACAGCAGAATTGAGAGTCATTCTAAGTTTATCCACATTTGGGATCCTGCTTTTAATGTGGCAGAAAGTAGCTTAATGGGAATGAAATGCATATCATGAAGAAGAAAAGGATTCTGGGTATCTGGAAAGAAGAATATGCTGAATTATGCTGATGGCTCTCAAAGCATTTTAACCTCAGTCTCCTGTCCCTTGAGTCCAGATGAATTTTGCACACCACATCTTTGAATCCAACAAGAGACCCAAGATACTTCTGTGTCCTGTTTCTTAGTTGGGAAATTTGTGTTTGTAGAATATAAAGGGAGCCCCTTGATTGCACAATTAAGAGCTTGACTATTAGCTGAAGGTTGGCAGTTCGAACCCGCCCAGGGGCACCTCAAAGCATAGGCCTGGTGACCTGCTCCTGAAAGGTCACGGCCTTGAAAACCCTCTGGAACAGCACTGTTCTGCCACTTGGCACTGCCATGAGTCTGAATTGACTTGACAGCAACTGACAACAACCATAGGAGTAAAGAGGTGTGTGGCAGTGAAGAAGGCAGGCAGATAAGAACAAAGTTTTACTTTATTATTATTACTCATTCTTTTTTTAAAAAAAATCTTGTTGTGGTGAATGGTATAGCAAAATATGTACCATTTTAACAATTTTTATATGTGCAATTCAGAGATGTTAATTACTTTCTCCACGGTGTGTGACCACCACCACTACTCTTTTCATTACACTTAACAGACACTTGGTACTCCTACAAAGCTTTACTTCTGTAGAGTTTTTTTTTTTTTGTAATTGTGTTTTGTTTCTCAAGTATTCTTACCCACCTTCTTGTTTTATTTTAAGACC